GCAAATATAAGAGATAGAGTATATGTTGGAGTTTTCTCCTAAGGAAAGGAGATGCTCTCTTCAAGCATGCTTTTTGCATGTGCATTTGTAAACCAAATCCAGCAGTTAGTTCCTTCACTGTAGACTTGCAAATATTTTTTTGTTTTAATATTTTTTTTTTTTTTTGTGGCAATACAGTAACACAGGAGCATTGCACTTCAGTTATTATATCACTAGAGGCATGGTGTTGTGAACGACTAAACCTTCAGATATCTTGGAAAAAGCACCCTATTGTGCCATTGCTTTTGAAGAGTACTTCATGTTAAAACATCTCCAGAACCTATTGTACAAGCTCCACAAGGTTTACTGCTCTTATTGCTCCATTAATAGGGACCTTGTAACCTTTCTTACCTTAAACCATTATATGCTTACTTTGCTCTCAGTTCAGCATGCAACTGTACATCTTAACAGCACTATCTTTTTAACTGTTGACCTCTGCAGACCCTTCAGCTCAACCTTTCTCAAATCAAAACCAGTCTCTGCATAGCTGTTAGTAAGTGGTGAGCAAGAATATCTTAACACATTCCCTAGCCTAGGTGATCTAACCGTGCCCTCTGTTATGCAGTACTCTTCCAGAAGCTGTGACTGCAGGGTTAAAAGTAACCATCCTGGCATTCACTCCCGGCCCCAGGAAGCCTGGCTGCCTGGATTCTAGGCCAATGCTGATAAGCAGCTGCCTGGCCTTGAACAGAGCTCTCTGAGACAGAGTTGGCAGGCATTTCTGTGGGAGCTGCCCCTGCTTCCCTTGGGAACTACATTTAAGCCAAGAGTCTTGTTCTGTTCCCCACCTGCGCTGAGCTGCAGCTGCATCTCAGCTATGCCCATGCCTGGTCCCTGGCAAGTGGCATGAAGTGGTGGCTACTCCCGGAGTTACAGCTGCTCTCCCTCTCCAGCTGCTGCGCAGCATCGCAGACATCAGGGAGCTGTGGGAAGGGGAGCCAGCAGTGCAGTATGGCAATGAGGCAAGCCAGCCGTCGGCAACTCCACAGACAGGGAGTCCCAGTGAAGAGCAGCAGGTCTGGGTTGGGACCAAGGCTGGAAGCAGCAGTCAAAGTCAGAAACAGCTAAGGGCAAGGGATGGGGCAAGTTCAAGATAAAGTCAGGAAGAAAAACTGCTAGGTATGGGTCAGGGCCAGACCAGTGAAGGTCTGAGACTGAGCATGGGCATAGCTGCTGCCCAGCTGCCATGTAATGCAGGTAGGGGCCAGCAGTAAAGACTCAGCTTAAAATCAGTTCCCAAGGGAAAAGAGGGACCCTCACTTCCAGCTTCCTTCACAACAGCGCTGGTTGGAGAAGGAGTTGACCTTGGACTCTTCCCCATGATCAACCAAACAAGAAGGGGGATGACATCAGGATGCTGTGGCTAGTAATTTCAGCAATAGCAGTTCTGTGCCAGGAGTCTGTGCCATTGCTGCAAGAGGTTTGTGCTCTTCCTTACTTGGAAGAAAAGGAAAATTTTCAACAATGAGATGAAGTGAAAGTGCCCTCCATTCAGGTATATTCATATAGTCATGATAGCCCATGACATGAGAATCTCTGTTGCTGCCACTTGTTTCTTACTTCCAAGCTATTTTCACTCCTGTCCTGGTTTAAGCCAGGATGAAGCCAATTTTCTTTTCACTTATTTTTGTTCTTCAGTGAGCTGTCTTTTTTACTAGCAGCAAGTTTTCCAGCTAATGAACTGATAATGCTGGAATGTTTATGTTACTGCTGAGTAACATAATAAATATAAACAAAGGATGCTTTGCTCTACTTGTTGAATCTGCTACAGGAGCAGAAGAGTCATATCTGCAACCCTCCCATAGCGGGGAGGGGACTAGACAAATGGCAAAATTGACCAAAGTGTTCCATTCCATATATCTACATAAGCTCATTGTAAGGTCAGGTATCAAGGGAGTCAAGCCCCTTCCTTCCTACTTCTTCTTCCCTTCTCTTCCATCCATGGCCAGCATCCAGGGAGGACTCCATCTACCCATGACTGTTGATCCCCAGGTCCATGTGTTCCTGACCCTCATAACTCTCCCCTCAGCTCCTGCCTGCTCTGCTTCTCTCTCCAGCAGGGCAGTCTTGGACATTTGGAACTGCTCACAGCTCAGGAGATGCTGTGGGAGTTGCTGGGGGTGGGGGAGGCAATAGGGGTTTTGCACATTCCTGAACACATTTGTATATAATTGTACATATTTCTTTTATCATTAGTATTTAATTAAAGCTGTCTAGTCTCCTATTATTCTCTCTCCTTTCCTTACCTGTGGAGGGAGAGGACCGAGAGCATTATTGTTGCTGGTTTAATTGTTGATCCTGAGTCAAACTGTGACAACTCCTTTGGCAATGCTCATGGCTTATGTTTGCCTGGAGAATTTGCTTAACACTTCCTGGGTTTTCTTGAATAGCTTTTCAGAAAGCCCAGATCCACCTTTTCTTTCTTTCTGTAGTCTATGACATGACTAAGCTTCAAGCCTGAAGCAACTCAACTGCCACCCTTCTCGTGCCTGTTGTAGTGTGGTTTGTGGGAGTGAGAACAGGACCCCTCCTATTGTAAAGACCAAACCTATTCTGCTGCTGCTCCCAGGCTGGATTTAGTCCATGGGTACTTCTATCAAATATACTCCCTTTTTTTCTTGAAAAAGCTTCCTGTTCCCTCTCTTTCATGCTTTGGGCCATCTTCTGTGCCTAACAGAGCCCCATCACCATGCCTGTGCTAGGCTTCTAGAGCTAGGAGCCATCATGGCCATTCAGTGCATCCTCAGCAAGAAAAAAAAGGAACTTGTAATGCACACAAAGTGAAGTCCTGATGAATAATCCACCAAAAGAGGAAAATTTAACCATGTGCCCCCAGAGTACTAAGATGATTGGATGCTGTGGCAGTCATACCTGTTTTCTAGTTTTCAGTATTTTTTTTAGTACTAGAGAAGACTTCTTTTCAGCAATCTCAGCTTTCCACCAAAGTAAGCATCCTTTCATGCACAGCATACACTTTTTGAAAAGGTTAGCAGTCATCAACCACAAAACCCAAATCTGACAGTTTTCAGCCACCCCCCTGGGAGTAGTAGCAGCAAGTTCCAGATTAGAAGCGTCCAACAAAGTCTGGCACTGAATCACCCCAGCCTTTCCCTAGTGGGTAAGGGATTACCCCTACCCAAGGTTAGTTAAGAAGTCCCATCCCTTTGCCATGGGAACCAGTCCTACAACCTCTGCAGAATCTAGAGTCACGGTAGCTAAAACTTTGCTTTGTCAGCAAAGACTGTGCAAATTTAAGCATATGATTCATGGGGAAGTCTGTTCAGAAATCTGGCTTGCTTTTGAACTATTTCTAGTCACTGTTTTCATTGCTTCATGGTGGAAGAGAATTTTAATGGTGGTCTTTAGAGACCTGTATTTTATGCATTGCATACCAACTAGTCTTTTCATTCATCTGTTCAGTTCTCTCTAGACTAGGAGTTCTCTATAGGTTTTCCTAGTTCAGAAAGTTTTGGGGTTGTTTCCTGTTTATTGCCATTCATAAAATCTTAATTCCTTTGCAGTCATTAATGATGAAACCTTCACTTTTCTCTATTGCTGCCCATTATGAGGAGTGCTTGTATTGAAGCAGCTTTTCTGGAGGAACTGATGATGTCCAAGGAATGTACTCATTACTCAGGCAATAATAGACTTTCTACAGCTTCAAAATTATGTTCTGGCCATTAAATTTGATGGGGGGTTACAGACAATGACATACCATATAAACAGGAGTCCTTTTCTTCTTGACAGCTGTGTGCTATTTCAATCTTTGTTATAGGTTAGCCAGTTAATGGGCACAGCCAAATCTTCAAACAAGCAGACATTTAAGGACATACTCATACCACCTAAGGTTACGCATCTATCTTAGATTGTCCTTCAGCTGGACATTCAGGGGAGTACACAGGGAGTCTGGGGAAGATGATTGAGCTGACTTCACAGGCTCTATTCTGTGACACTAGGCAGATAAAATATTTTGATTGCTATTGCCCTGAAATGAGCTGTTGGATGAAGTTCCCTCCTCATCTCTCCTGCCTTTGCCATCCCTATTTCGCTATTTTGGGATAGCTGTGGCGTTTTCACTTCCCTCTTTCAGCCAAAGACAGAGCTGAACAGGCCCAGCA